GAGCCTGAAGGCGGGACTTAGACTTGGGACCGGAAGGCGGGACTTGGAGCCTGAAGGCGGGACTTGGGACAGGAAGGCGGGGAGGCCAGGCCTTCAATTACCTTGGGAGGTGCTTTTGGCCCGTGAGCCTTACGGTAACCCTGCCCGCAGCCCCATGCCGCCTTCCTGAGACCGCGCGAGGGCCGTTTGTCCGCCCTCGCTGCCCAGCGCCGCTCAGGCCGCCGCTGCCCTTTCTGCTGTAGGAGAAGGACATCAAGGTAGGAAGGAGTCTCCGCTCCCGGCCTTTGTGTACGCCCCCACGTTCACCAAACATGCCCCAAACTCCGTCTGGGTGGTTCCTGCCAGCGGGGGCCCAGGGACGCGCGGAAGCAGCCGTGCACCTACCTGCGGTTCTCGAATGTGTATAGGGTTTTTTAAGACATCGGCCTCTAGGCAGCAGCTTGCCGAGGTGCCCCTGGGCGGACCGGAACTGCCCACCTTTCAGCAAGTAGCCCAGCGCCCAACCGTCCCTGCCACCCAATTATAATGATCACACAAATAGTTAGCACAACGGTGGTGTCTGCCGCGAGGAGAAGCACCAGGAACCACGAGGGCTTCAGAGGAAGCGCTGAGAGGAATCCGACGACAAGAGGCCGCTGCTGGGGTGTGAGTGTTTGCGTGTAGAGGCCAAGGCCAACGTTTCAACTACACTCGGTGGATCCCTGAGACTTGTTAAATACACTTGCAGACCGTAGATGAGGGCATGGATGAAGTCTTGCCACCACTTCCAGATGAGAATCATGCAACCCGACTTAGCTGTGAGAACAAGGGCGGGGAATGCATCTGCAGGAATGCAGTTATTCTACCTGTGCTTCCCCTCACTGTACCAAGGACCTGGACCCTTACCCTGCACCGCCCGCCCTCCCTCCAAAATCGTGTCTTTTATTTTCTGAACACTTGATTTGAAATACACTCAAGCCAATCATTAAAGAAATTGTTCAGTGAAGCACTTTTTAATAAAGCAAAATAGTAAGTGGTTTAAGGACATGTCGATAAAACTATTAGCACATTTAGATAAAACGGTGACCATGGCTGGGC